TAAGTCCACTCGACTTCGCTTTATCAATTATTCAAATAATTATATAGGCGGGCTTGGTAGAAGTAAGTGTTAAAGTCAAGATCTATTTTCAAATCAAGTTTCCAAAATGAATGTTTATTATTATAGGCGGGTTTGATCAAAGTAAGTCTTAAAGTTGAGATCTATGAAGTTGTTTGTAAAATATATTCAATTAACGTTTTATTATTATCAATTATTCAATAACTATATACAGTCGCACCTGTCTATTTGCATACTGTTGGGACTGATGAGTTTTTATGCAAATAGACAGAATATGCATATTCACGTTATTGTGTTGATGTTACATACAATCACGTGACACGAATGTAAAAATTGTTTCGTGTCATTCGCGTCATGGTTTTAATCAATTCATTAATTTTAATAGCTTAATCATAAATTTTTGAATTTTACTCAATTTTATACAATCATATATTTCGTTATCCTTTACATTTACAATGAAGAAAGTCACATTAAACAATCAACAATGTTATCAAATCTGTTTAAAAAAGCAAGATGACCCAAGAATAACCCAAAAAGAATTAATTAATTGGTGTGAGCAAGAATTTGGTATAAAAGTTGATCAAGCAACTATTTCCAGAACATTAAAGCACTCATATGAGTATTTGGATAATGAAACAAACTTGCTACAAAATCCACTACAGAAAAACCCCATAATGTTAGATATCCTGAACTTGAGCTTGCACTCCGAGAATGGTGTTTACACTCACAAAACCATATTCCTCTCACCGACCTAATCATAACTGAAAAAGCTAAATCATTTGCAAAATTGCTTAATATTCCTGATGATGCATTGACATTTTCTTCTGGGTGGCTTCAAAGCTTTAAAAACAGGTATATTTTTACACATATTTATGATATTAAATTATTAATTTCTTTTGTAACAAATAATTACATATGTAGAAACAATTTGAAAAGATATCAATTGCATGGAGAAAGTGGATCAGCTGATACCAATGTAATTGAAAATGCACTTCCTGATTTAAAAGCAATTATTAGCTCCTTTAGACCTGAATGTGTATATAATATGGATGAAACAGGACTGTTCTTCCGGCAAGTATATTACTATAAACAATATTTAAAATATTGTTATTTGCTAATGTAATTTAATAAATACATATAGACTTGAACCTGACACAACTCTAGCAACAAAACAACTTGAGGGAAAAAAAAAGGACAAGGAACGTTTGACTGTTGTGCTATGTTGTAATGCTGATGGAACTGATAAACTTCCACCTCTCATTATTGGAAAATTTTTAAAACCTCGGTGTATGAAAAATGTTAATATGAATAATCTTGGAATTACCTATAGAGCAAATACTAAAGCATGGATGACAGCAGTTTTATTTCAAGAGTAAGTAAATTTATGATTAATAATTTAATATGACTTACTTTATAAAGCATTTTTAATCAATTCTCAATTGTAGATGGTTAAGACTATTTGATCAAAGAATGAGTGGTAGAAAGGTGTTATTATTACTTGACAATGCACCTTGTCATATAATTGAAGGGGTAGAATTGAAAAATACACAGATTAAATTCTTACCACCAAACTCCACATCAAAGATTCAACCTTGTGATGCTGGAATTATTGCATCTTTCAAGAAACATTACTGTCATCGATTTGTACATCACCTTCTTGAAAAGTTTGAGGATAATGAACGGGTTGCCAAACTTAATGTTTTAGAAGCTATACTATTCATTAAAACAGCTTGGAGAGATGATGTTACAATAAATACCATTGCCAATTGTTGGAAGCATACTGGTATTATTAAATTTGATAATAATGAAGAGACAGAGTAAGAAGGAGATGAAATAATTCCTGATATAGAAAAAAATATTACAGCCTTAAGGTATTAAAAATATTGTCTTGTTATTTTAATTTCAATGTTAATTATTTTATTATTGTTACTATTATAGATAC